TTCTTTTTCTGAGAATTATGACAAAATTCTCAGAAAAAGCAGAAATAGAAGGCAAACTTAGTACCTATAGCTAATCTCTAATTAATCATGAAAGACCGAATGCCTTCTCCCTATCAAAATACCAGTGAGAATTTTTGTATTAATAGATATAGAGATTAGTCTAATAAACAGAAAGGCAAAGACACTAGAAGAGCTAAAACAATTTTGAATACAAAGAATAAAGTGGGCAGAATCAGTCTACCCAATTTCAAGATTTATTATATAGCTCCAGTAATCAAGACTGTATGGTTATTGGTGGAGGGATGGACACATAGATCAATGAAACATAATAGAGAATCCAAAAATAGACTGAAACAAATATGCCCGGCTGATTCTTGACAAAGGTACAAAGGCAATGGTGGACAAATAGTCTTATTAACAAATGGTGCTAGAGCAATTGAACCTTCTTAGGCAAAAAAAAAAAAAAAAGCAGAAGAAGGGGAGGAAGAAGAGGGAGGAGGAGGAGAAGGAAGAAAAGGAGGGGCAGCAGCAGCAGAATCGGCTCAACCTAGACCTAACATCTTATACAAAAATTAACTTATAATGGATTACCAACTTAAATGTGAAACAGAAAAAATAAAATAAAATAGAAAACCTTTGGGATTTAGGGTTAGGCAGAAAGTTCTTAGTCTTGATACCAACAGCATGCTCCATAACAGAAAAAATAGAAAAATTAGACCTTCTCAAAATGTAAAAATGTCTCTACAAAGTACATGTAAAGAGGATGACTGGGGGAAAATATCAGCAAGCCACAGATCTGAAAAAGGACCCGGATCTAGACCAAGCTCGTCCAACTCATGGCCCATTGGCCACATGCCTCTCAGGATGGCTTTGAATTTGACCCAACTTTCTTTTTTTTTTTTTTTTTTTTTTGAGACAGAGTTTCGCTCTTGTTACCCAGGCTGGAGTGCAATGGTGCGATCTCGGCTCACCACAACCTCCGCCTCCTGGGTTCAGGCAATTCTCCTGCCTCAGCCTCCTGAGTAGCTGGGATTACAGGCACGCGCCACCATGCCCAGCTGATTTTTTGTATTTTTAGTAGAGACGGGGTTTCACCATGTTGACCAGGATGGTCTCGATCTCTCGACCTCGTGATCCACCCGCCTCAGCCTCCCAAAGTGCTGGGATTACAGGCTTGAGCCACCGCGCCCGGCTAAATTTGACCCAACTTTCTTAAAACCTCATGAGAATTGTTTTGTGATTTTCATCAGCTGTTGTTAGTGTTAGTGTATTTTATATGTGGCCCAAGACAATTCTTCTTCCAATGTAGCCCAAAGAAGCCAAAAGACTGGACACCCCTTATCTAGACTATATGGAGAACTCTAAAAACTCAACAACCAAAAATAAATAAATAAATAATAATTTAAAAAAGAAACAATTAGCAAATAGCCAAAAGACATAAACAGACATTTTACCAAAGATAGCATATAGATTAAAATACAGATGGAAATAAAGATGGCAAGTAAACACAAGCGCTGGAAAAGACATCCGACGTCAGTAGCCATTAGAGGAACGGAATTTAAAACCACAATGACAAATCACTATACATGTATAAGAATGGGTAAAAGTTTTAAAATATTGACAACAACAAATTCTGCCAGGGATGTGGAGAAGCTGGATCATTCATATGTTCGTCGTTGGGATGTTAAATGGTATAAGTATTCTGGAAAATAGGCTGGCAGTCTCTAAAAACTAAGCATGTGACTACCATATGATCTAGCAATAGTTTTCCTGGGCATTTACCTTGTGACCTAGTAATAGTTCTCCTGGGCATTTATCCCAGAGATATGAAAATGTATGTTCACTTGAAAACCTGTATACAAATCTTTATGACAACTTTATTTGGTTTTTGTTGTTGTTGTTGTTGAGACAAGGTCTTGCTCTGTTTTCCCAAGCTGAAGTACAGTGGCTCAATCATAGATTACTGCAGCCTCCAACTCCTGGGCTCAAGGGATCCTCCCCCTTAACCTCCTGTGTAGCTGGGATTACAGGTGTGAACCACCATGCCCAGCTGCTAATTTTTAATTTTTTAACTGTATAGACAGGGTCTCACTATGTTGCCTAGCCAGTCTGGAACTCTTGGGCTCAACTGATCCTCCCACCTCAGCCAACTTAATTTGTAATATCCCTAAAACTGTAATGTCCCTTCAAGCCCTAAATTGTCCTTCATTACTTGAATGGTTAAATAAGCTGATGGTACATGCATACCATGAAATACTACTCAGTAAGAAAAAGGAACAAAATATTGATACAACAACCTGCAACTCAGGTTGCTGAGTAGGAAAACTAAATGCAAAAGGCTACATATTGATTCAAAGGGTTACATATGATTTTTTAAATATAACAATTTGAAATCACAACATTTTGGGAATGGGAAACAGGTAAGTGGTTTCAAGAGGTTAGAGACAGGAAGGGGTGCACAGGGGAAGTAGGTGTGGCTACGAAAGGGCAATACGAGGGATCTTTTGGTGATGGAAATGTTCTGTATCTTGACTGTGTCAAGGTCAATATCCTAATTATGATATTTTACTATAGTTTTTGCAAGATATTACCAATGAAGGACATTGGGTAAAGGGTACTTGGAATCTCTCTGTATTATTTCTTATAATTGCCTGCAAATCTACAATTATCTCAAAATGAAAAGTCTGATTTTAAAAATGACTCTTGATCAAAAAATACCATTAAATGAATAAAAGATACTTGCAGTCTCTAACTGACAAAAGCATGAATTTATAAACAGCTTTTATGAATCAATAAGAAAAAGTCAGCTAAAAAATGGGCAAACATTTGAACAGGCATTCAGAAAACAGAAAATGTAAATAGCCTATAAACACATGTAGAAGTGTCCAGTTTCACTGGTAATTAGGGATATGAAATGAAGATCACAATGAGACATCATTACATCTCCACCAGACTGACAAAAATACAAAGTCGAATAATATTATATTTTGGCAAGGATGCAGAGCAATGAGAACTACCACACATCTCTGATGGTAGTGTAAATTTTGTGACCCACTTTGGAAAACAATTTATCATGATCTAATAAAACTAAATATATGCATACCCTATGGTCTAGTAATTCCACTCCAAGGTATACATCCTAAAGACTGCACTTACATACCAGGAGATACATACAAAAATCTTAGCAATATCATTTGCAGTAGCCCCAAATGGGAAAAAATCCAAACGTCTAAAGTGCCAGAATGGACAAAGAAATTGTGATGTGTTCATTCAATGAAAATGAACGAACTACAGCTACATGCCACAAAGTAGATGACTCTTACAACCAAATGGAAGGAGAGGCCAGACGCACACACAAATATGCATGCAATATTATTCAATTTATAGAAAGTTCAAAACCAAACAAAACTCAGCTGTAGTGGTTAGAGATTCCTACACTGCAAATTGGTAGGAACTTCCTTATATACATTTGAATATGTATTTGAAGCTTCCTTATATACGTTGGTAGAAAGATATATAAGGAAGAAATTACCATAAAGTCAGGATAGTTGCTTTAGGGGGAAGGGAAGGACTTGTGGAAGGGAATTGGTGGAGCAGGGGAACCTCTGAGGTGACAGCAATGACCTGGGTGGTGTTTGGTTTATAATTCATTAGGCTATGAAGGGACGTTGTCTTCACTTTTCTGTGTGTGTTATTGTTTATAACAAAACCACATACCCTCTTCATATGTCATTGTTTCGCCTTTGAGATGACAAAGAAATATAGACATGAGTCTTAGCTGTGCTGAGAAAAGATGGCACCTGAAAATCTGAGTTCAAAATTTAAAACCTGTGAGGAGAGTTAGAGTAAAAAGTGGAGTGCTGCAAGACACTAGACTTGCTGGAATGATGAGGTGGTGGCTTGCCTTGGAATTTTTTTTTTTTTTAATAGTGCAATAGGAATAATAAGGTTGCTGCAGGTGCTAAATTTCTTACTCCCCTTCTTTAGAAGTTGGACCTATGCTGAGGGTCCACGGTTTTTAAATGTTTGGGAGTTTTTTTTTATTCTGTTTATCAAATTGATTCCCTAATCACCTTTGCCTTGAATTCCCCCTAACTACCCTGCATAAGAGGAGAACTTTTGATGCAGTGGGAACGCTCCCTTCCCCGTGTTAACCGGGATGACCTCACCCCTCTCTCCTCGCTGTCTTCAGTCCAATCAAGATCAGAAAGCAGGATCAAAAGAAAGATGATCAGACTGAAACAGGTAAACGTTCCATATAGAGATGCTTCGGACATGCGGAGAAGTAACAGCTTATCCCCCCCTCGGGCTGTCATGTCCTCTCCGCTGACCCTCTGAATTACTGATGTCAGAACTTACTGGGTGGAGTACAGCACAGAAGCAACTCGTAGAGTTTCACGACATTAAAAGAAGGTGATTTCAATCAAGAAATCTAGCGCATAGTTAAGGTTTCTCCCTGTGTGGAGGCACTGCTTCTCCCGTCCTGTCTCTTTCTGCCAGACCTCACCGCCACAGCTCCAATCACACCCTGACCGATCCCGCCCCGCCACGAGGCCCGGGTACCCCTCAGCGGCGGGGACGTCCAGGCGTCCTTGGATTTCCAGGGCACAGTGCGGGCGGGAAATAGGATCGCAGGGGAGCCCTTCGGGAGGCTCTCGAGGCAGTGCCTTTCCAGTGGACAGCGACACACCCTGGCCCTCCGAATTTTCCCCGCTGGGCCCGATCTGTAGCGCGCAAAGTCCCCTGTACTGAGGCGTTCCCAGGGCGCCCAACTCCCGAGTGTCCATTTCTTAGGTAAAAAGGCGGCGGAGCTGAGGAGGGGTCTTTGGAAGGCGCCCGCTGCGCTGTCTCACTGAGTGGCTTCCCTCGGCCCGCGCGCATCAGCCTCTCTGGCGGGAGATTCTCCCCGGACTCCGGCCAGCGCCAATCAGGTCGCGCGGTACCTGCCCCCAGCCCCGGCCACCTGGAGGGGCGATGAGGCTCCACTCCCGGAGCAGGGCAGTACTCGGAGCGCCGGGGAGGCCGCGGAGACTCACGTGTGCAGCCCCAGCCGCGGGCGCCCGGAAGCACGCGCGCCGACCCCGTGGGAGCCGAACGCGGGAGCCGCTGCCCGAGCGGAGCTGCTCACCCGCGGTAACGGGTCGGAGCCTCCAACGCGCAGAGGAGCGAGCGGAGGGGCGGAGCGCGGGCAGGCGGAGGAGCCGCGGGGCGCGGGCTCCGCGCGGGGATTGTGTCCGGCCACCGCGTACTTTCGAAGGCGCCTCTACATTCGGGTAAGCGCGTCCCGCTGCCTCCCTCTGCCCACCCCGCGGCTTTGAGAGTACCAGTTCCCGACTGGGCCTGGGTCGGCTCCCGGCTCTCCCTCTCCGCGCCACCGGCCTCTAGCTCCGAGGGCCGCGGCGGCTCGGGGGTATCTCTGGCCTCTCGGCCAGGCCGCAGGTTGGGGCTGGACTCGCCGGGTCCCTGCCCCGGGGCGGTGCCGAAGGCGCTCTTCTCAGCCTGTCCGCACCTACCGGCTTCTCGGCACCTTCGGCCGGGCCGGACCTCACGCGGACGCCGCTGCTGCTGCTGCTGCTGCTGCTGCTGCGCCTCGCGCCCGCCGCCACCCGGAGCATGAGGCGCGGGACGCCAGGGCGCGGGGGCCGGGACAGAGGACCCAGGAGGCTTGGGGCCCGGCCGGCGGGGGCTGCCGGGCCAATCCGCCGCCGTCGATCTGTGCGTCCGGGTTCGTGTTGGGGACTCTGGGCAGCCTTGCTCCTGGGGCTCGGTTTACTGGTGATTTTTCTTAAGTTTTGCAAAATAAAGAGGGCGATGTGCCTTCGCGGCGCGGGGTGGGCATCCAGGCAGCAAGGGCCTGTGGGAACCGGCGTCTCGGCCAGCGAGTCTGGGGCCAGGATGGCGGGGGTGGCCAGGAGAAGCCGGACTTGCCGGACTTGCCGGTGGGGCCGTGGTCCGCTTGCTCCCGAGGCCACGGAGCTGGCGGCCGCACCAGGATCCTGGAGGGTCCTGCGTGCTCGAGGCGCCGGCCACACCGAAGCCCCCGCCAGCCGGGAGGAGGGCCTGGCCAAGCAGAGGGCAGAGCGGGCGAGCAGAAGGCAGCGACCGGACGAGGCCCGCCTTCTGCTGCGGGGGCCCTGCCGCCCGGCCTGGCCGGGGTGGGGTGGGTGGAGGCCGAGCGCGGCAGGCCTGGCCCCTGGGTGGCATCCTGGTTCTCTGCGGCCCCGAAGGCCGCGAGGACGGCCGGGGTGCAGATCTGTTCCATCGGTCAGCGCCCTTTGGGCGACACGCGCCAGCCGTGCTTGCCTGTCACACTGGTGTGGGGGTTCCTTTTCTTTGGGCGGAATTGTGGGCCCCTGGAAGTTTGTTCGTCCTGGCAAGTTTGACGTGATGTGGACGCAGCATCCAACCTGCAGGCGGAGGCCTGCAGGCACTTTCTCCTGTCCTTTCCCCCAGCCTGACCCTCCCCTAGGTCGCCCAGAGGGCCCGATCCTGAGATTCTGCGGGGGCCGCAGTGTGGCCGGCAGGGCTGACGTCTGCGCAGTTGCGTCTGTGCCCTGCTTGGTCCTCCAGCCGCTGAGCCAGACACATGTTTGATGCTGTGCGGGAGACAAACAATGACCGCGGACTTCAATCCGGCAAGTTCGCTTTGCCTAAGGTTCCCTGGGGTCTGGAGTGTCCCGAGGAGAAAGGCAGCTTTCTTTCTGCCCTAATGAGATACTTGGATGGAACAGACATTCAGACCCTGAAAGAGGCGGACCCAGGGGAAGGACAAGTAAAGTATATGCTCTGAAAAACGGAATTTCTCAGCCAGTACTCTGGGAAGGTTCCAGCTCCCATGCCTGAGAGGATCAAAACCAGCAGGTACAGGGGCATGTTGGCGTCCAGAGGGGAAGTAGTGTGTGGCTCTCGGAGGGTTCTGCGGGGGCATCGGGCAGATCAGCAGCGGCCTCTCCTCACAGGTGCCTGCTCTCAGGAGGAGCACAGCTGTTATTTCCGCCATCCTGGGGGTGCAGAAGATAGGGCCGTACCTGTGTGGGAAAAGCCTGTGAAGTCCTTTCGAGTGGCAGGTGGGAGGGCCACAGGCCTGGATAGAAACCTGAGTTGTGGGCAGGACTAGCATTCCTGCCAGGGCTAGCGATCTGTATTGTGACCTCATCATGCATACTGTTCTGGAAAGGCAAGGCGAGATGGACTCGTGCGGATGAGAGCAGGTCCCCTGTTTGGCCCAAGGATCTCTGTTTTTTCTCTAGCTTGCTGGTCTGTAATTGGACGAGCCCGGCTTAGTTCAGGGAGTGCCTCAGTCTGAGTACAAACATCAGCTGGTAGCAGGAGACCTTGGCTGGAGCACAGTCCAGCCCTCACCCAGAGGCCTATGCCGGGGTTTTCCCGATCTCCTGCAAACTTTAGAAGGCTGAGATGGATGAGAGGAGGAGCTGAGAATCTTCTGGGAGTCATTTGGCTCTGGTAGGGCCATTCCAGGGTCTGTCCATTGTGAAAGTTCACCAGGGTTTAGAATCTAGCCAGACATAAGGTTTTGCAAAATCACTATTATTATCCCCATTTTTCATGTGAGGAAACTGGGTTTGGGGGCAGGGTAAATGATTTGCCATGATCAGAAGGCTACTCAGTGGCAGAGCAGTGCATGAAACCCAGGGCTCTCTGTTCCAAAGTCACTGCCCCTTCCCCAGGGCCACTTTCTTCCCATTAAGAACAGACATGTATGTGGTAGCTGGAAATCCAGAATCGCCATGAATAAAGACTCTTACTTATAGATCCAAGAGATATGTATAGCCCCATTAGACTCTAAACTTCAGAAAGCACTGGCCTGGTAAACGAGATGTTCTTCCTTCCCTCTAGGACCCAAAGGTTTAAGTTCTACACAGAGTATTAATTTCTTTAATATGTAAAGCACAAATCTTTCAACTGGCAAACATCAAAGACATGGATAAACTGTCGATGAGGTTGCAGAAAAACAGGGACTTCCATATATTGCTGGTGGGAGAGTAAAAATGCCTTCCTTTGAGGGCATTTTTAGAAACACTTGTCAAAATCATAAATGTCCATACTGTCTGACCCAGTGATTCCATTTTTAGGAATTGAACTTGCCGTTACCCTTGCATATGGGCACAAAGATATATGTACATTATAGCACTGTTTGAACTGTGAAAGAACAACTTACACGCTTACCCAAGGGGGACTTGTGAAATGTCTCATGGTACTTCCAGATAGTCAAATAGTATCCTATTCATTCGTAGAAAGAGAATGAGTAAGTTTGCTATATAACTGATAGGGAATGATTTCCAAGATATATGGCTAAGTGGAAAAAAACAACATGCTGGAGTGTTTATAACATGCTGCTGTTCGTGTTATACAAGAGGAAGAAGGGGGAATTAAAGGGTGTTTGCTTGTCTATGTATAACTATAGACACAAAACCTAATAATACCTGTTGCCTCCAGGGAAAGTGGCCTGTAAACCCTTTTGTACTTTTGAATTCTAATCCATGGGAATACGTTAACTATTTTAAAATCCTCTTTATCCATCCTATGCCTGATATGTTCCCTCAAACACTTCGCCAGCCTAACGGTGTGGGGTGACACACCCCACCCACTTCAGGTTGCTTGAGAGTTTCCCTTTGGATTAAAAGCCAAAGGTCTGTCAGAGTGCCCAGTGCCCATAGTATCTGGGCCATGCAGCAATCCTTTGAAATACGCAGAGTTGAACTTGGAAAGCTGGGGAGAGGTGTCTTTGGACAGCAGGCTCTCTGAGCCGGGTAGGCAAGTTATGATCATCCAGGCTTGAAAACAATATGCAGAAATAGAAACCACCCCTCTCTCTATTGCCCTAATGTTCCCTTGTACAAGATAAAGTGTCAGCAACTGGATAGCATTGGGCAAAGGAGCAAGAGGAACACTGTGACTGGACATTAGAGAGGGCAGAAGAGATGTAGGAGGTCCATTTCTGGTGTTGCATTTGGACGTCAAAAAGGAGAAGAGAGAGATAGATGCTTGGAAAAAAAAAAAAAGGCTTGAAATTATCCTAGGGTCTAGAGCTGTGTTGCCCCAGAGAAAGAAGGAAGAATATTGGCACAGTTGTCACTGCATCAGTCAGAGTGTCCTACATACCCCTTTGAGCAATTTCTATCAGCACAGATGCCCTGTTCAGTTTCCCCTACTTCCAAGAACGCCCTTCTGCTGATCACTCAGCCTGGAAGCCAACAGTTACACAAAGGGGTTGGGGGCGGTATTGGATGCTGCCTTTCTTTCGGAGGTGGGTAATGGGACAGGCTGTTGAATAGCAGAAGCAATGGAAGAAGGGCTTGCTTCCAGCCACAAAGATGGGTCCTCCAGCAGCATTAGGTGGAAAGCCTTCATTGAGAGTTTTCCATGTTTCAGTCACTCTGCTAAGCCTACACTATTTCATTTCATCTCTTTCTCTCAGGTATATGTGAGGGCCCAGGCCCTTTTCTATCAAGCAACATCTTTCTGCTCTCCCTTCACTGACTTTTCCATTCTCTGTGCAGTAAGCTGCAACACAGCCACAACTGCATCACATGGTGCTTCCAGACCCGCTTTTGGGTTTTAACAGCATGCGGCTGAGCATTACATGCTTTGATGGATGAGCTGAAATTTCTGCAGTATGTGTGCAGGGCACAGTTCTGAAACAAAGCAGTCAGCGTCTGGGTCTGGATTTCCATTTCTCTTATTTCCACTTCTGTGTATGCATTAGGGCTGGGCTGAGTAGACTGTGCATGTGATGTTCCCCAGGGAAAGGTGGAGGAGGAGGAGGAGGGCTTGTCATTGCCTTGGTGCAGACACAGTGGTGTGGAAGGCTGTGAAGATGAACTTGTGAGGCCGTGTGTCTGCATCCAAGGAGAAAGGTCAGCGGAGTGACCCCTAAGCCCGAAGTCTGTGCTGTCAGTCTGTCTGTTGTTTGGAAGAAAAAAAACAGCCTGAGAGCTGAGAGCCTCATTCATTGCAAACCTCCTCCTTCTCATTAGCCAGGATTCACCTCTGACTCTGTTTCCACTTCAAAAAAGAAGCAGCTCTAATTTTCCCCAAATAAATTCTGGAGCACACAAGGCAGCTGCTTTTTCTTGTGCTGCTGTTGCCCACAGTGGCGGGAGCAAGAAGCT